CCAAAGACCATATAAAGGCTATATTTATTAAATACTAGTTGTCGCCCGCGACTCCGTCTTCCCGTACCGTAAGCTATGTGTTCTTCCAGACTGTCCTACATCTGTATCAAATCTAAGATAATCCATTCAGCCGTTCTGAATGATGAAACCAAAATATTATTTGAAAATAAGAAAAAAAGCAAAACTATTATTTATTTTTTTAAATATTTTCAAAACTCACCATTTCTCCAAATCGTATTTTGACAGATCTTCAGTTTTTGGCGGGAACATTTGCGGTCTGACAACTGTCTGCCATTTCTCTGGCACATCTTCATATTTGTCATAAAACACCATGTCCTTTGAAGCTGGTCTCCAGTGTGTCATTCCTATATATTGAAATAAATCAATTACTGCGCTACCCAGAGTCGTTAAGCGTGCATGTAAGATGAACCCTTAGTGAAAGTTGACATTAAGTCCCCACTCAGGGGCTCGGAGCCTGCCCTAAGTTAAGGGTGTTCAGGCCATAGTCAACCACGCTGACCAAGTGCGGGTTGACTTCACACTTATCTTTGAATTTCTTCTCAGATATGTGCAGCATCACGATGTTTTCCTTCACAGTAAGAACTTCGGATAAATGTACATATGTAAATCGGAAATGGAAAATACATTAGTACATGGCGAGATTCGAACCCAGGACCTGCAGATTGCAAGTCAAGTGCTGGACCCCTGAGACACCGACGTTCTTATGCATGAAAATGTTAACAAAGTGAAATTATACTATAAAAAGAAGATATCTTAAGTTATATGAGTAGTTAACATACCTTTATGGAACTTCAATCCTGGCAGCATATCGGAGACATCCACCAGTTTGACACTGTCTCCTGTCTCCTGCAGCAGACGATGCACCACTGCTTCATTCTCAATAGGGTTGAAGGAGCAGGTGGAGTAGACCAGTCTACCGCCAACTTCTAGCAGCTCACAACCACGACGGAGTACACGGTATTGGATACTAGAGAAAAGTGAATCTTACTAGTATTATAAATGCGAATATTTTGATGTATGTTTGTTTAAAGTTATCTCCAGAATTACTGTATGGATCTCACTGAAATTTGGCATATATGTAGAATATAGTCTGGAAGATTATAAACTACTAGTTAAGTTTTTTTTTAATTTCACGCGGACGGAATCACAAGCAACAGCTAGTATTGAATAAAATATATATTTGCATTGTACAAATTGTAGTCAATATGATGTGTTAAATTTTGTAAGCATCTGTAATTTAGTCCAATTTGGGAGATAGCGTAGTTTTTATAGCAATTATTGACTTTTCTGCGCAGACGGAGTTGCAGGCGACAGCTAGTTTAGAGTTTTTTTTTAAATTACACTTAACAGTCTAAAGAACAACTTACCCGTGTAAATTATTTCCATTCCCCGTGGACCATTTGAGCCAAATATCTGGGTTCTTACGTAACGTAGCGTCTCCTGAACACGGCACGTCGCAAAGTATACGATCGAACTTTAAAGGCTTTGTTTTCGTTGGATCCTAGGAATAAAAATACATACATTTCGATATTTCATACAAATATCCAGATAAGCGAGAGTACAGTCAGCTGCATAAATCTTTCTAATATTAATGTTGTTAATATTTGTTAGAAGGTATCTCCAGAGCGAGCTGAAATTTGGTATATAAGAACGCAGTCAAGCAAACATACGGACTAATATGAGCATACAAATTTCTGATATCAAAGTTTAAGTTTCTATAGCTTTATTAATGCAGCTGACTGTACAAGAGACCGGGATATTTTTCTCGCTTATAGAGGTTTCTCAAACCAGAGTTTCTCGCTTTTGGAGATTACAAGACCGGACAAAAACTGTCGCCTATGGAAGTTTCTCGCTTATCCAGGTTTTTTTTTTTAATTTAATAAGCTTGCACTTGACCACAATTCCACTTGTTAAGGTGACAGGTTATATCAACGAGTAATATAAAGAAACTATTGGTTAAAAAAAAACAATTTCAAGAGTTTTTAAATTTATAACCTATTACTGATAATTCACCTTATCATCAGTGGTGACAAGTGTTGGCATCAGTGCGGAGTCATGGTTGGTGATGAGGATGCAGGGTGAGTTTAGCCGCTTGGCCTGATGCACCAGCATGTAACATCTGCTGTTGTCTACGTCATTGGCCATCACAAAACCTAGAACATTATCTTAATATTAGTATTGGTGCCTTGGTGGCTCTGGGATTAAGCATACTTGTAAGCAGGTCCTCGGTTCAAATCCCGGCATGTACCAATATGTTTTTTTCGTTATATGGTATATTTTACCACATAAATGGTCGTCATAAAAAATTAATAGAGTTTTTTTTTATAAAATATACTTACCACTTGGCACTTTGTCTTCATCGGAATGCAAAAATTCTATCAGCTGAGCCGTCTTAGATCCTGGTGCAGCACACATATCTAATACCTGGATAAAAAATATGTTTGAGATAAAAAAAAATTATTTAATTTTAGAAATGAGAGGTGTACCATAACTGTGCCAAATACAAGCAAAATATCAAACCAGATTATAAGGATTGTTTTTTTTCAAATATTGTATTTGCTGAGGGTGAATTTTCTTTTAATACTTGATTTTACGAAAATTGCGTATTACCAATTCATAAACCCCTTTTTAAAAATGAGGAGAGTGTTAATTTGTCTCGTTTTTTTGTCATTTCATAATCACTTCTGCTTGTCCTTGATTTTAATTTTTTTTCCTAAAATAACCAATAAAATTTAACAGTGGTAAAGCCCCCTTTAACATGTTTGCACGAATTGTCTCGGCTCGCCCGGTGAAATACCACGACCACACAGAACACACGCGTCATGTGGAAGCAATTCCGCGTTTCGTCCGTTGAGTGTGTGTCCCGGAGGCCTAATTTAGTCTTCTTTCCCTTTTCATCCTTTTCTAATGGCCAGGTGGCCGCTCGCTCGTTTGCCACCTTATGATATATAAATAGATCCCAAAAAACACCAATCTTTGTTACATTGGTCATAACTTTGGGAAGCACTGATCACTGCAAACTACCAACCTTATGATGTGATTGAACTTTGAGTACCACAGGTGGTATCATTGACACCGCCTCCTGTCTTGACACTCCACCCGCTGCTGTCTCTGCTACAAGGAAGTTGTGCAGTTTGTATAATGGTTCATTTCTACGGATATCTGTACGGGATAGACGGAGTTGCCATGCTATGCCACCGGGATACCTGGTGTGGAAATTTTATTCATGTTATTTATATGTCCAGTATCTCACTGATCTGGAACTATTATAAACCAAAGGGTGCATGATTGGAATCTTCGGATTACTGTATTTGTGAAAAAGTCATAGGAAATGTAAATTTTATTACTAAAAAAATTCTAGATAAACGCAAACATAATACCTAGTATACTAGCTATAAACTATTCTAACTTGAAAAAATAAGTTAGGTAAATATAATAGGTTAGACTGCTAGTCAATAACGCAGTGAACAAAGCACAGAGAGAGAGAGAGAGAGAGAGAGAGAGTGCCAGACTATTGGATATTAGATTATATGTGATAAGAGATGTTTGTCATGGTACTTTGTTACAATATAACTTCAGTCAGGTTGGTTTTGGATAATATATAGAACAGACATTGTATAGGTTCAAATATACATAGAGATAGGGTTAACTGACACTAGCTTGCTGCAACTGCAACATGATTAGGGTAAACACTCTCATACAACTACTAAAACCATATATTTGAAATTTCATGATCACACACCTGTATAATACTAAGTTGTTTTTTAACTACATGTAGACCTATGTAATTGTTAGTGAATGAAATTTAGTTATAATGAGAAAACAGCTTGCTGTAAGTTTATCTCTAAATAACTCCTTCAATAATAATCGTAATTAAAGAAAATTATTTGTCATCAATACACACCATGGTAAGCTTACTGGTTTTATTTCCTCTTCTTCGCCTTTTTCTTCATTTTTAATCTTTACATTTAATAATTGTGAGAAATATTCACTTTTAACAATATTTAATAAAGCATCCGCTTCAGCTTTAGAACCAGTTATTCTGAATGCTGTTGGTAAATTTTCTTTTAAGCTCGTCATGAATTCTGGCCATTCTTCTTCTGGACATACTTTTTGTGTCTGAAATCACCAAAAAAGTTAGATAATACTTTAAATACACAATAACACAAATAAGAAATAAGTAAGCATGTAATTAAGAAGAAATCCGACTTTAATTCAATCTACATTGATTAAGAAATATAAAACCAATAAGATAGTTAGGTTATAAAATCACGTCTATGAAAAATTCTAAAAGTTGAATGGAATATACCTTGTAATACTCTTCAAAAGCAGCATTTTCTCTTACAATATCTTCGTAATGTCTACGTGTATCAGCCGCAGGTTTATCTTGAGGATTTTTGGCCTAAACACACAAACAATTGTGTTAATTTTTGTATACGTTTACATTATAGGGTAACTTTTTATTTAATTTTTTACCTTTTCTTTTTGATCTCGTTTACGTTGAGCGAATTTATTAACATTGCGGTTTTTGCGTCTCATTTTAGTTTAATACCGTCTAAAGTACAAAAATTAAAGAAAAACAGAATTGGTATACCAATTTAATTTGTACATGTGACATATACTGACAGTGACGTTAAAAAATGGAGGGGTAACAAATACAGATTGCAGCAAATTTATTCCAGATTGAATGAACTAGAGGGAGGAAGCTCTTTGGGAGGAAGTTTTGAAAGTAAAAAGTTGTTCGAAATTATTAAGGTATCGAAAAACTAGAATGTTTTTATAGCATTCCACTAAAGATTTCTGGTAGTTTCATTGATTTTTTACCATTTTAGTAACTTTACAAACCAACGGCATCACAGTTCTCATACGTAAGTACTGTGCGTATATAGATTTTAACTGAAAACAAACTGTATCGTAATTGCATAAGGTCTAATATAGGAAAACTAAAATCCAAAGTGTTGATCATATTTAATGAACAGTGAAGATTGTGTTAAATAAAATGATGTCTTGAAGTTGTTCTATTTCTGTTCTTATCAGTATCAATTTTGTTCTACAGGTAATATGAGGATTATAATTATAAAATTCAGTTAACATTCAAACTTTAATGTTGATAATAAATTGTCGTAAGCTTAACTTTATATTAATTTAGTGTCTATTTTTATTGTAATTTTTGTTATAAAGTTAATAACTCAATTTGTTTCATAATTAACTGACATAACTTCATCTAGAGCACGCGTGATAAAAAATAATAAACATACTTAACAACATAATTAAGTTTCATTAACTTTTTAATTAACCATTTACAACAAACTAAAAAAAGTTATAATGTCAGTCAGAGTTTTTTTCACCATATTAACACTAAAATATGAATATTTAGTACTTGTTGTTGCCCTTGATATTGTCCACGGGTAATTAAAGAAAACATAATTAGTAGCCTATGTGTTCTACCAGACTGTTATACATCTATTCCAAATTTCATTAAGGTCCATGTAGCTGTTCCGGTGATACCTTCAAACAAATATCCATCTAAACATTATAACATGTATTTATAATGAGTAAGATTGTTTCTTTATTTTTTACAGATTATATAAAATGAATCCACCAAAAGGTTTTCAGTTTGCTATAGACAGAGGAGGTACATTCACAGATGTGTATGCCCATTGTCCCAATGGCAAAGTGAGGGTTATGAAATTATTGTCAGTTGATCCTCAGAATTATGATGATGCACCAAGAGAAGCAATAAGAAGAATATTACAAGAGGTTGGTTGTTATATTACTGGGTTTCTTTACATAAACTCATATTGTTAACCCTGTCATTCTCTATGAAATAAACAGAGAGAGCTATATGTGTTAAGAGAGAATAACATAGATTTTTTAAACCTACCCTTTTAAACCTTTCAACAGTGGTAGAGCCCGCTTTAACATCTCTGCACGAATTAGCCCGGTAAAATACCACAACCATACAGAAGACAGGGGTGAAGTGGAAGCAATTCCGTGTTTCGTCTGATGAGTGTGCGTCCCGGAGTTTTTAGTCCTCTTCCCCTTCCCACCCTTTTTCTTAAGGAAAGGATGGGAAGTGGAAGTGGACTCTCCGAATACGAGGATGCATGGAAATGTTTTCTTTCTGTGCATCCTCTCCTCTGTTGATTAAAGGTAGGCAACGCATATGCAATTGCGTATGTCTATGGGCAACGTTCACTTCGCTATTACAGCGATTTCAGGTGGCCGCTCGCTTGTTTGCCACCTTATGATATAAAAAAAAACCTAGATTGTAATATTAAGTTTCCACTATAACCCTGTACAATCAAACCTGGATTAATAGTCCAAAGACTGCAAATTTTTCATTTAAAAAGATAAGAAATCTTTTTTACCTAAGTTTCTCGCTTATGGAGGTCATTCGGACATGACAATGACTTACTTTACTGTACTTATCTGTATTTAAAAGTGTCTCATTAAATCATTGTAATATTCTTGGTATAGGTTGGCCTTAAATTTATGGATAACTTATAAAAGTATTTATTTTATGTTTTAATTATAAAATCTTTAGTTATAAAAATTTAGTTTAACTCTGTCATTGTACTGTATGTACATGTTGCTGTACGTGTTTTGACAGTGGAAACACACATGTTACAGGAAACAGGTAATGCATTGGATAAAGATGGGAAAGTGAATTCATCCTTAATAGAATCAATAAGAATGGGAACAACAGTTGCTACCAATGCACTATTGGAACGGAAGGGCACTAAAATGGCGCTTGTAATCAATAAAGGATTCAAAGATTTACTTTATATTGGGAATCAAGCTAGACCACATATATTTCATTTGGTAAGCTAGGTTTATGACTTAATTAGCTGTTGCCCGCACCTCCATCTGCTTGGAAATAAAAAAAATAAGTAGCCTATGTCTTCTTCCAGACTATGTTGTACATCTATGACAAATTTTAGTGACATCCATGCAGCTGTTCTGGAGATACCTTGTAACAAACATCCATCCGTCCATCTAAACATTCACATGTGTGGACATTTTTGTTTTGTTTTCTATAGATTAAAAATGCTATATCTTTTTATTTGTTTAGTTATGTATATCGGTATATAAGGAGTAGAATAATCCTGTTTCTTTTGTCCTGTTCCTTGAATTGGTATATGGGTTTTCTTAGTTTGGTAAACGGATGGGTATCATTGGTTCATGGGTATGAACGTAATGTCACTATGTTGACTGCGTTGGTATCAGCACCGATAATAAAACGAAATCGTACTATGCACGAAATATATTAAATGAAAAAGACACAGTATTAAAATTAATTCAATCTCGTCAGGATTTTATATTTGACAAATTGTGTTCGCGACCTGTCTGTGTCGCGAGAAAACGCGGGAGCCAATCCCAGTGCGAGATTTCGCTCCCAGGCTTTTGCGCCACAGGTCAAAATAGGTTTAACAAATAGACTTGTGTAGAAAGTCAGAATAATGTTATGAATATACTGTAGTCAATTAATTAGATAATATTGTTTGGAGTAGTATTAATAAAGTGATAAAATCTTAATACAAATAAAGGTATTGTATACTTTAGGATTTCACTGTTTGATAATATTTTAGTTGTATTTTACAGTAGGTTTCCACTCTCCCAATGATCATATATTTAGGCATTATTAGTTAGAATCCTTTGTCGCGAATGGCGCTCTTTCATTACAGTCAAGTGTCAGAATGATTAGTGAGGGGACATAAACGTCGACATTTTAGTAAGGCTAGTGTGCTTCCTAACAATATAAAAAAATTAACTTTACGTCCGTACATGAGGCAACGTAAATCTTTGGCATTAGTACTTTTGCTTCGCTTGTATAAATGAATCGTCGACTCTATGTATGTCAGCTGTATATTGGCGCCATATTGAAAATCTCAGCGACTTTTCTCGCTACGATTTGGATAAAGCGCCAATAGCCTAATGGTTAAGGGTACGATTATCCGATCACGAGGTCAGGGGTTCGAATCCTACCATTCTACTATTATCGTAAGCAGTAACACAAGCATAGTTGGAATGGTACAAGAAATATTCTAATAGTAAACTAAAAAAAATCTGCTAATATTTAATAAATGCTGCTAATAACTAAAAAACAAAATGATAGGACTCATACCTATGTACGATTCTTTGTAACGTATTATGTAAGTCACTTAGCGACTAAAATCGCCCAGGTTTAAAAGATTTACGTTGCCTTTTGTACGAAGAGACTAAGGCAAAGTTTAAGGGAATTGTCTCTGAGTGATAAATAATGTTATTACAGAATATAAAACGTCCAGAAGTTTTATATCAAGAGGTCATTGAAGTAGACTGTAGGGTGATACCAGCTTTAGATGATCGCTGTCAAATCGATAAATCCAAACAAAATTGGAAGGAAGCTATCGGGACTACGGGTCAGAAAATGCTTGTTATCAAAGAAGTGGATGAAGATGCAGTCAGACAAGATCTGAAAAAGTTGAGAGAGAAAGGGATAGATAGTATTGCTGTTGTGTTCGCACATAGCTATACTTACCACGATCATGAAGTTAAAGTTGGGAAAATTGCAACTGAATTGGGTAATTAATTTAATTTCATCTATTTTAAACTATGTTTTATATATTATATATCATAAAATGCCACCAACAGATTCAGATTCAATTTAGTTTTGCTATGCATAGTACTAATTTTAACCTTTTGACAGCTAGATGATGGTCAAAAACGCCATAAAAATTCGTTCCGAACAAATTCCTTTGAGAATTGGTTCTGGAGGTTTAAATTTATACCTCTTCCCGTTCACACCCTTTTCTTATAAGGAAAGGACGGGAAGGGAAAGTGGATTTGACAGAGGAGAGGACGCATAGATTAGGGAATATTCTTTTTCTGTGCGTTTCCGTATCTGTATATGCAAATGTCTATGGGCAGCGCTTCTTTCGCTATTTTGGCGAATTCAGGTAGCCTATGGCCACTTACTTGTCGGCCACCTAATAATAAATAAATACAATTTTAGGATTTAAACAAGTATCTCTGTCCCACTCGGTGACTTCAATGGTCCGTGTAGTGCCGCGTGGGTTCACTGCGTGCGCGGACGCGTACCTCACTCCGCACATACGGGAGTACGTTAGAGGTTTCGCTGATGGATTTACAAATGGATTAAAAGGATCCAATGTCCTTTTTATGCAATCTGATGGTGGATTGACACCTATGAATTTGTAAGTTTTAGTTTCAACTAGCTGTCGCATTCGACTGTATTCGCGCGGAATTACAAATAAAGATAATTGTAGCCTATGTGTTCTTCCATACTATGTTCTATATTGATGCCAAATTTTATCAAGAGCAGTTGAGCCGTTCTGGAGATACCTTCTGACATAGATTCTTCTAGACATTCGCATTTATAATATTAGTAAGAGTAAGAAGTAAGATGGTTTTAATAAATTCAAAAGCCACTACGATTTTCGCGAAGTGGTCGGTTGGTGGCACTGAAAGTGTTAAACACGTTTTATAAGATGTGAAAGAGTCACACTATGAATATTTTTGTTACAAGAAAGAGAGAGAAAGATGTATAACTCGTAATGAGTGAAAGAGACGAAGTCAACGGAATATATTTTTAAACATTTAACATTTTAGATTCAATGGATCCAGAGCAATATTGTCAGGTCCTGCTGGAGGTGTGGTAGGTTATGCGATGACGTCATACCAGAAAGAAACTGGGTTGCCAGTTATAGGTAAGTCTAAAAAAAAGAAAGCCTAATTTTAAACCTCTTTCCCTGTCCTTATCTTATAAAGCGTAATAAAAAACATGAGTGTCGGTGGCTCAGGGGTCAAGCACTTGACTTGCAATCTGCAGGTCCTGGGTTCGAATCTCGCCATGTACCAATGTGTTTTTCGATTTCCGATTTACATATGTACATTTATTCGACGTTCTTACGGTGAAGGAAAACATCGTGATGCTGCACATATCTGAAAAGATCAAAGATAAGTGTGAAGTCAACCTGCACTTGGCCAGCGTGGTTGACTATGGCCTAATCACCCTTAACTTAGGGTAGGCTCCGAGCCTCTCGGTGGGGACGTATAGCGAGTTGATGATGATGATCATATAAAGAAACGATGGGAAGGAGAAATAGGTTTGACGTAATAGAGGAAATATCTTTTTGTGCGTCTCTTCCTCTGTCGATTAAAGGTGATACATCTGCAATTGGGTCTATGGGCAACGGTCTCTCGTTTGCCACCTTATTATATAAAAACATGCTTCACATATGTTATGCTTTTTTTTTTTAAATTTGCAGTTCCTAAGACTGTTCCTATGTTTTTGTAGAAATTAATGAAAACTTAATATATATTTTTCTATTAATGCGTTTAATTAATTTACATCCTTATTTCTATGATTACATAAAGTCTTAAATCTATGATATAAAATAAAATTAAAAAAAAACGACATCCCAGGGGACCGAAGAGCTGGCAGCTACCTCGGTCAAAGAATTAGTTTAGCTGTACAGAGGGGGAACGCTGCCTGTATCTTCGGGACCTTGCCTAAAGGGACTCCTTTTAATAACATATTTTAGTTAATTATTCGGTTTTTTTATTTCTATTTAGGTTTCGATATGGGAGGTACATCAACGGATGTGTCAAGATATGCTGGTTCATTGGAACATGTGCATGAAGCGACCACTGCTGGTGTGACTATACAAGCTCCACAATTGGGTAAATATATATTTTAGTTATAACACAGTTTTTTTTGCATATTAATAGTATAGTAAATATGATGAGATACGATGCATATTTCGTTACATGAAAGAGACGCAAGATATGGTAAACAAAGGACAAAAAGAGAGGAACATATATCACTTCTTATTTCTTACTAATATTGTAAATGCAAATGTTTGGATGGATGGATGGATCGTTTAAACGTATCTGAAGAACGACTCCATGGATCTTTATGAAATTTGGCATAGATATAGAACATAGTCTGGAAGAACATATGGACTACTAATTATGTTTTTTTTAATTCCACGCGGACATAGTCGCGGTCGACAGCTAGTTATTTATAATCTATTTGCGAGTCCATTTTCAGACGGAAAAATCTTATTTTTAAGGCAAATTTCGTAACACTATGATATATCCCCCCCCCTCTCGCTCCATCTCTCTCTATTGTTGTCTCTCTCTCTCATATGTATATATTTATGTCCGTGTCAGATATAAACACAGTAGCAGCGGGCGGAGGTTCCATGTTGTTCTTCCGGTCCGGTCTGCTGGTGGCGGGGCCCGAGTCCGCGGGGGCACAGCCAGGCCCCGCCTGCTACAGGAAGGGGGGCCCACTTACTGTCACTGATGCCAATCTCCTGCTCGGTGAGTGATAACACATATTGAGGTGTATTATGCCAATAGTTATAGTACTTTTAATTATGACATTTTGAATGTAAAAAAGTGTCTTGACATACAGACGGACAACAAAGTTCTATAAGGGTTCCGTTTTTTTCCTTAGTAGGTACGGAACCCTAAAAAGATATTTTCTGTTCTTTTTTAAGTAAAATGTTGTGAATAAAGTATGTTTTTTTTTAATTTCTTTAATATTGCATTGGTATTGAAAGTGTTAAAGTGTTAAACTTATCCTAAGTTACTTTTTTCTCAGGTCGTCTATTACCAGAATATTTTCCTAAGATTTTCGGTCCAAATGAAAATGAACCTTTAGATAAAGAAGCAACTATTGAAGCTTTCAAGAGAATTACTGATGAAATAAATTCATTTTTAAAACAAGATGGCGGGAAAGAGGTATAAATTTTTTTAATAACGATGTAAAGTTAACACATTTAGTGTTCACCACTCGGATCCGAGTGAGCGGCTCGTGTATTTTGTTGTCAGAGCTTACTAGACTCGGTCAGTAACACTCGGATCAGAAAAAGGTTATTTTTGATTAAAATAATAATAAAAAAACGTATTTTTATTCATATTTTTAAACATACATATATACATAATCAAAAGTACCTTTACTCGGTATTTTTTTTTTTGAAATTGTGTTTTTTGTAAATTATATTTTTTAGTAGGAATTACTAATAAAATGATGAAATATGAATAATATTATTCGATGTTACCGATAGAAAAGTTAAGTTTATGTTTAAGTTGATTATCGATAAAACATGAATAAATGGTGGAATTCCAACCCTGGACCTACAGATTACTCAAGTGCTTAACCACTGAGACACTGACGCTCCCAATAATAATACAGCTTTGATATTTTTAATGGAATTTCAAAGGTTCGAAATATAGAGTAAATAGTATAAAATTATTTTTTTTAGATGAGTATGGAAGAAGTTGCAATGGGTTTTATCGATGTTGCAAACGAAACTATGTGTCGTCCGATACGGTGAGTTGATATATAAATACTAGCTATATCCCGCGACTCTGTCCGCACGGAATTAAAAAAAAAGTAGCCTATATGTACTTCCAGACTATGTTATATATGTATGCCAAATTTCATCAAAATCCGTTCAGCTGTTCTGGAGATATCTTCAAACAAACATCCATGTAAACATTCGCATTTATAATATTAGTAGTAAACCAGAGTCCAAGGGGTTGATTTTTCTCCCTTATAAAGTTGTCTTACAGTGAAGGAAAACATGGTGATGCTGCACATATATGAGAAGATCAAAGATATGTGTGAACTCTGCACTGGACCATCGTGGTTGACTATGACAGTCACTAATTTAGGGTCCCCTTGGTGGGGACGTATAGTGAGCTGATGATGATGATGCTGATGGAAGATTTTTTTTCTACCTTTGTTTGTTTATGGAGGTTTTATGTTGATGCCGGATATTGAGTCTTGCTTATGGAGGTATCTCAAAGTGTAAGAGAGATAGACTGCAAGACAGAGAGAGATGATAGTAATTGTATGAAGAGATTTGATACTAAACTAGGCCTCCGGGAAGCTATTACTAATATTATAAATGTTAATGTATGGATGGATGGATGTTTGCTAGAAGGTATCTCCAGAAAAGTTGTATGGATTACATAGTACAACATAGTCTGAAAGAACACATAAGCTACTAATTAAATTTTTAATTCCTGTGAACGGAGTCGTTGGCGATAGTTAGTATAATGCAAAGATCATTCCAGTGCACTGACGACAGCGCGTGGTTACGACGCCAGTGCGCACGCGCTGGCATGCTTCGGCGGTGCTGGCGGACAGCACGCGTGCGCAGTGGCACGCCAGCTCGGCATATCTACTGTACTGCTCCATAAATATGCTGGTATTGTAAAATACATACTAATATTATGCTTGATATATATTCTACTGGACAGGTTATAAAACTATTAATTTTGTGCTTATTTGGTTTTCGCCATTTTGGATACTCGATTTAATAATAGATATTGGACGATCTGCATAAAATTATGTCAAAATAAGTTGATAGAATTACTTTAACTTTGGTAAGTTTATTATTATTTCCAAGCATCATAAAGTTATTATACTTTAAAGTTAAAGGTCAAAATGGGTCCAGCCCGAGATGCGATGAGATTATCTGGAAGCAATGCGGCTAAAATACAGAAGAAAATTAAAAAAAAATGGTTATTCGTATTGATTATCAATTAAGAATACATATATACGTACGAAATATGAACTATTTTAGAAATTTTAACAGACAATCCAATTTTATTATATATCTAGTCTAGATCTTTAGATTGTCAACAATATATTATGTACGGTAGGTATCCTATCAGCGTATGGCATGGCGCTAGCACACGTGGTGCACGAGGCTCAGAAACCTTGCGCCGCGGTGTACTGTCCCGACCAGTATGAACGTCTGGATGACCAGCTGGATGTGCTGGCTGCTGTCTGCAGGGACAAGCTGCGAGCTCAGGTATACTCTAGACACGCCTCACAAAATATCCCTCTAAATGTTTTTTATCTTGTTTCTTCACCCCTAAGTGTTACAGCGTGATGTTAAGTATCCTACAACCTTCCTGAATCCTCCTCCTATTGAATACAAAAAGATTTTTTTCAATATAATTAGCAGGTTTTGAAAATAAAGCAAACAAAGATTGTTATGTTAATAAGCGTCCCGGAGTCCTAATTTAGTCCTCTTTCCCTTCCCACCCTTTTTCATATACGGAAAGGATGGGAAGTGACGGTGGACTTTACGGATTTGAGGATGCATGGGAAGGGAAGATATTTTCTTTCTGTGCATCCTCTCCTCCGTGGATTAAAGGTGGGCAACGCATAAGCAATTGCGTATGTCTATGGGCAACGGTCACTTCGCTATTTGAGATGGCCGCTGGTTTGCCACCTTTTGTTGTATAAAAAAGTTATTAAGTAATTAAGCTAACAAAATTGTCTAAAACAAAAATTGTGGGTTACGTCTCATGAGCATCGCCAGCTGATAATCTAAATTAGGTTTAAAGGGGAAACAGCTCCTATTAATATAACTTTATGGGAAAAGTGGGGGGGATGCCCCTCCTTATGGACATATATCTACGTAATGGCTATTCGTAGGGCTTCGATGACACCCAAATAGTGTTAGAACCATACCTCCACTTGAGGTACTCGGGTACAGACTGTGCGCTGATGGTGGCCCCCATCATGGACCCCAGCTCCTCCACCGCCTGCAGGCATGGAGACTTCTATACTGCTTTTGTTCATAGGTGAGTAAATTATAATTCATTTATTTGATAAACTTGATATGTTTAATTTTTGTAAATAAACAATAGAAATAAATTAATAAAAAGGGTTCTTGACACGACAGCTGGATAAAAAGTGATTATAGGGTTCTGTTTTTTCTTTTGAGGTACGGAATACTAAAAAATTAAAAAAACATACCTCACCGTGTTTTTAAATGGAAATAATAGCAGAGTTTTGAAATTCTTAGTAATGTTATAAATGCGAAAGTTTAGATGTATGGATGGATGTTTGTTATAAGGTTTCTCCAGAATGGCTGTATGTATCTTTATGAAATTTGTCATAGATATAGAACATAGTCTGGAAGAACACATAGGCTACTCATTAACTTTTTTATATTCCGCGCTAACTTATTTTAGTCTCGGAAACCACCAAGGATTTAATTTAAGGGGGATAAGGGGTGATAGATAAACTAGAAATCTGATTTCAAGTTAAATCTTACTAATAATATAAATGCGAATGTTTGGATGGATGGATGTATGTTAGAATGTATCTCCAGTACGCATGGATTTCGATGAAATTTGGCATGAAGAACATAATCTTGAATAACACATCATCATCATCATCAACCTGCCCTTATCCCTATCGAGGGTCGGCACAGTATGTACTACTCCTCCATACATCTCTATAAGCCGTCATATCCGAGTCTACCCCCTTCTTACGCATATCCTCTTTCACACAGTCATTCCATAGTCTTGAATAACACATAGCCTACTTATTAACTTTTTTTTTTAATTCCACACGAACGGAGTCGAGGGAGACAGCTAGTCTAAAACTAAATGCAATAATACTTACTCTAATCTATAAGATGTTAATTTGATTTCTATTATCATAGGTATAAGAATGAATTTGGCTTCACTCTAGCAGACAGAGATGTGATTGTGGACGACGTGCGCGTGCGCGGTGTTGGTATGAGTCAGTTTGCTGAACCAGTGGCGCCGCCCACTGGGAAAGGGGTTAAACTAATCGCTGAAAAGGTAATATTAGAAAAAAAACGTTGTTATTTAATATTGTAATTCATATAAATAAGTATAAATTTAAGAACGTAAGTGTGAAAATTACGACATCTCTGTCTTTCTCTTTGGAGTAATTGAGATAAAAAGTTTTTGTACTTGTTTTTGAATTAGAAACTCTCATATTATTTAGGACAATTTTATATGCGTTTGTATATTTAAAGGGCCATCCATTATACATGAAAAGGGATTTTTTGATTCATTCTCCGTCTTTGTCATTCTGTTCAATTTAAACCCACCCTGGCTGTCATGGGCGTCGGATTGCCTAAAAATTCTATCTCCACAAAAAAAAATGTGACGTCACAAAATCCTCCTCCCCCTTGTTACATGTCACATTTCATTGTCCCCCCTCCCTCCCCCCATGATGTCTGATGACACTAATTAAATATTACAGACAGTGAAAGTTTACTTCGAAGGTGGATATGAGGACACAGAGATACATTTACTGGATAAGCTGATGCCGGAACAAATAATTCAAGGGCCAGCTATTATTATGGATAATCTGTCAACTGTATTGATTGAACCAGGTTAGCACACTAGCGCCACTTTGATAATCAATTTAGTAATACATATTGTTAGGAACACAATCCGACACTGCCGGTGTACTGGCACACCTATCCTTACTAAAATATCGACGTTTATGTCCCTCACTAATCATTCTGATACTTGACTTTGTAAAAGCGCGCCATTCCCGACAAAGGATTCTAACTAATGTCTAAAAATGTAAAGAATACTAATATTATAAATGCCAATATTTAGATGGATGGATGTTTGAAGGTATCTCTAAAACGGTTGTATGGATCTCGATAAATTTGGGCATACATAGAACATAGTCTTGAAGAACACATAGGCTACTAATAATTTTTTAATTCCGTGCAGACGGAGTCGCGGGCGACAGCTTGTAAAGAAGATAAATATTTTAATGTACTTCTAAAATAAATAATTCAATTGAAAATGACATAAATGACAAAAATGAAATGACAGTTACAGTACAAAGAAGATTGTGACATTTTATGACAATGACATGGGGGCGTTAGTGTGCTGTCTTAATTTAGTTTGACTTATGCGCAATGAGACATACATCCTTGTTGGTCTATAGTTGTCGCCCGCGACTCCGTTCGCGCGGAATTAAAAACAAACTTAAAAAAACCTAATCCAGATTATGTTCTACATCCATACCAAATTTCAGCGAAATCTATACAGCCGTTCTGAAGATACCTTCTAACAAACATCTAAACATTCTCATTTATCATATAATATTTTTTTTCCTGCTGGCTAATTTCTAGCCACCTTCTGTTGTCTCTCTGACGCTCGGTCAGAGACCTTTTTAACTTTGTAATCTTTATTTTCATACATTTTTAATTTTGTTCATTGCTTGCTGTCTATCATTTATAATATTAGTAAGATTTATATACGTGCTATATATTTAAGGTTGTCACGCGGAGATAACAAAGTATGGAGACATTCGTATAACAATAGGGTCGGGTTTGACAAAGAAAGTAACAGCAGATCTGGATTCAGTTCAATTGAGTATATTCTCACATAGATTTATGTCGATCGCGGAACAGATGGGAAGGTAAGTGAATCACTGAATGAACGACTGAATGACTGAATGAAATATATCATTCATTTCACTATCGGTTTTTAAACAATAAGTTAACTTAATTGATATATAAACACGGCTAAACACTGACGTATATACGTCCGGTGGCGGCACCGACTAGTTTCGAGCCCATCGGGGGCCCTTCATCAGGATGAGTGGTACTGGTATTATTTCGCGGACGCGGCCCTCAGCTCACTGAGTGAGCCGTGAGTGTTTAGCCGTGTTTATATATCAGTTTAGTATAATGTCTCACGATAGTTTGAATAATTTAATAAGTCAACTTGTTTGAGCATTTTATCCACTGATTTCTATAAATAATTAGGCCATTCCTTGGAAATGACAATTTTTGATGTGTTAGTTCAGTGGTTCCCAAACTTATTTTGTCTACTATTGAATAAATATTTTTTAGCGCCCCTCATATTTTCACATATTTAAAAACCACTAACTTCAAATTAAATTAATTAATAATTGTGACCTATATATGTATATTAACGGAGAATTGTAAAGGAAACTTTTACTATAACCTGCAACTTGAAACCTGCAGCGCCCACAAGGGGGCGTTATCGCACACTTTGGGAAACACTGTGTTAGAGTGTTGTGTTGACATTTAATTCTATCTTATTAGTTCAAACCCTGACAGGTTTTGTAGTTTTGTGGATTAGCGTCAAAATGGCGATAATCAAATACGCACATAATATCAGTCTTATAGCCAGTCCATTAATAGAGATAAGTGATCTTTCTCCGCCCGCTCGTATGACATAAAAAAACATGGCGGGATTAAAACCCAGGACTTGTAGATTACAAGTCAAGTACTTAACCTCTGAGCTATGCTCTCAAATATCTTAGATGTATAATAATTAGATTTATCAAGTTTTACAATATAACGGAATTTAAATAAGTCATATTGTAGGGTGCTTCAACGTACGTCAATATCAGTAAATATAAAGGAACGATTAGATTTCTCATGCGCGTTATTCGGACCTGATGGTGGGCTGGTTTCCAACGCACCTCATATTCCTGTACATCTCGGAGCCATGCAGGAAACTGTGCAGTATCAGGTAAATGTTCAATTTTTTATATATCTATGTCTCGAAGTAAATAATATGAAAAATTGTAAAAAAAGATACAGTTTTTGATATTATTAACTAGCTGTCACCCGAGACTCTGTTCGCGTGGAATAAAAAAAAATCTTAATTAGTTCTCGGCAATTATTTTCTCACCTTTTAAACCTTCTTTATACCTCCACGAATATTTCAAGACCATGATAAGATAAATCCGTTCAGCCGTTCTCCAGTTTTAGCGAGACTGACGAACAGCAATTGATTTTTATATATAGATTTGCAGAAAGTAATGAATATGACTTCAAAATAATAAAAGCTTGGCTTTTAAGATAGATTACTAACCGTGGATTTCTAAGACCAAAATCCCCGTATAAAATATTTTTTTATGTCTGTTGTGTCAAAAGTTTTGGTCTCAGAAACCACAGGTAAATAATTAAAAATTATAAATAGCGCCATCTATCGGTAAACGAACAGAATTAATTATAAATGCGAATGTTTGGATGGATGTTTGTTTCTAGTTATATCCAGAATGACAGAAAAGTACTACTAATTAAGTTTTTTTTTAATTTTTCGGACAGAGTCGCGGGCGATAACTATCATAACTGTTTATAGCTAGATTTTTATTTTCCAGATGAAAGTTAGAGGTGGCAGTATGAAGCCGGGCGACGTGCTGTTGGCCAATCATCCCAAAGCGGGCGGATCACATTTGCCCGACTTAACTGTTATTACGCCCGTTTTTCATAAGTAAGTCTTGATATATGTTTCCAAGACACTTGTATTGTTATCTCTTTTATATCAAAGAGAATGAAAGAGATAGCTATATGAAAATCCGTATTTACTACTTGTAGATCATGGGCAGAATATTGCTGTTCTTTATTACTTAATACAGTCGAAACTGGATAAGCGAGAGTCTAAAGGACAGATTTTTCTCGCTTACAAAGGTTTCTCTCTTACCCGAGTTTCTGGCTTATGTTGGTCGTCTGTCGGAACTAGGCAAATGATTCTCGCTTAAAAAGGTTTCACTGTTACCCAAATTTCTCGCTTATGGAGTTTGTCTATCGGGATAGAATTCTCGCTTATAGAAGTTTCTCTTTTACTCGAGTTTCTCGCTTATGGAGGTAGTACGTTTTGACCGCACAATAACTCTCGCTTATAGAAGTATCTCTCCTACTCCAATTTCTCTTATGGGGGTCGTCCGTTGGGACTTATCACTTATAGTGGTTTTGGAAAAACTGGAACAGTATTGTCTAGATATATAAATGCTATAATATTTGTTTGCAGGTCTGCAAATCCGATATTCTTCGTAGCATCGCGCGGCCATCACGCGGACATTGGCGGGTTAACGCCGGGCTCCATGCCGCCGCACTCCACACATCTCGCACAAGAGGGCGCTGCATTCAAATCCTTCCTATTAGTTGATGGTGGACATTTTAATGAAGACAACTTAGTGGATGGTAAGATTTATTTAATCTACATTTCCAGTTTCCATTTTAACAGTGGTAGAGCCCGCTTTAACATGTTCGCACGAATTGTCCCGGCTCGCCCGGTGAAATATCACGACCATACAGAAGACACGCCTCAAGTGGAAACTATTCCAACTACAGTCTGATGAGTGTGCGTCCCAGAGGCCTAATTTAGTCATCTTTCCCTTTCCACCCTTTTTCTTATAAGGAAAAGATGGGAAGTGGAAGTGGACTTTCTGGATGAGAGGATGGAAAATATTTTCTTTCTATGCATCCTCTCCTCCGTCAATTAAAGGTAGGCAACGCATTTGCGCTTTCGTATGTCTATGGGCAATAGTCATTTCGCTATTTCAGCGATTTCAGGTGGGCGCTCGCTCGTTTGCCACCTTATGATATATAAAAAAAAACATTTCCGCTAGCCTTTTAATGTTGGTTTTGACTGTTGAAACACAAATTTAAAATATTTTAATGACTTATAAGACGATTCTAAACTTAAAGTTACCCTTAACTAGCTGTCGCACGCGACTTCGTCTGTACAGAGATAAGTAACCTATAACATGCCCGCAGACATAAGCTACCATTCAGTCAAAGTCCTTTCAAAATCTGTCCTGTTATTCCGGAGATTACCCGGAACAAACATAACCATCCGGACAGACATATAGAGAAAAAAAAGGTTTTTCGTTATCAGCAACGACATCATATGTACCTTATATGTTTTTTTTTTCTAATTACATACAGACACACCGATTTTATTAATATATAGCCTTGACTATTTAAATGTTAATTTTTTAATTTTATTTGTCCACAGAATTAATGGCTCCAGGCAAGGAGCCTGGTTGTTCTGGTACTAGGAACTTGGCGGACAACTTATCAGATTTAAAGGCTCAAGTTGCTGCTAATCAAAGAGTAAGTGAAGTATTAACTTTATTGTAATTATGACAATAAAATATAGTCAAACCTAAGTAAGCGAGAACTGGATAAGCGAGAAACCTCTATAAGCGAGATATCTCGGTCCCTTGGATTCTCGCTTAACTAGGTTCGACTGTATAATTAACGATACGTTTTTAAAATTCGAAAATTCTTTTTGCAATCTGTTAACTGAAAATAAATTAATTTCTTATGAGATGTTACTTTATTCTACAAATTGTTTCATATATTTGTCATATATCTTACTTCCTACTAATATTATAAATGCAAATGTATAGATAGATGTATGGATGTATGTTTGTTTGTAGATATCTCCAGAACAGCTGCATATCTCGCTGAATTTGTCATACATGTATAACATTGTGTGGAAGAACACATAAGCTACTATTTTTTTTTCACTTCCTCGCAGGCGGAGTCGCGGGCTACAGCTAGTTATTAATAATTTGACTTTATCTTTATCCAGGGCATACAGCTGGTGTCAGAACTAATAGACCAGTACGGTCTAGATGTAGTGCAGGCTTACATGGCGCATATACAGAAGAACGCAGAGCTGGCTGTCAGGGATATGCTTAAAGTAAGCTTTATTATCTTACCGTGGGTTTCTGAGATTAACATCTCTTTATCATTTTTTTATATCATAAGGTGGCAAACGAGCGAGCGGCCACCTGAAATCGCTGATATAGCGAAGTGACCGTTGCCCATAGGCATACGCAATCGCATATGCCTACCTTTTATCGACGGAGGAGAGGATGCACAGAAAGAAAATATTTTCTCTTCCCATGCATCCTCTCATCCGGAAAGTCCACTTCCACTTCCCATCCTTATAAGAAAAAGTGTAGGAAGGGAAAGAGGACTAAATTAGGCCTCCGGGAAATGTATCGTCATCCTTGTTAACTTTGACAAAACAGAGATAATAAATAGGGTTTATCAAGGTTTTGGTTTCAGAAACCCACTGTTATTCTTTTATTATAAATAAAGATGTTATGTTAAATTGAGTAATTAATTACGAAAAACGCCAAAATTTACTGATAATTTTAAAGTGTTATTTTTTTTTCTTTTGAAAAATATTTTTTTTTATTATTATAAAAACTACGATATTTTTCCACAGACTAAAAATGTATTATTGTCAGTGACAGAGTATATTTATATTTTAAATTGAATAGGATATAGCAAAGAACGCTATCAAGAAGACAGGGTCGGCAGTACTACATGCTACAGAGTACATGGACAATGGCACACCTATACAGCTCACTGTCACACTTGATAAGGATAAAGGAAGTGCTGTTTGTGATTTCACGTAAGTTATTTATGTTTTACTAGATGTCGCCCGCGACTCCGTCTCTGCGAAATAAAAAAACCTAATAAGCACCTTATGTGTTCTTTCAGACTGTGTTCTACATCAATCCATCCATCCATCTAAACGTTCGCATTTATAATATTAGTAAGATTAATTAATGTAGAGTTTTAGCATAAGTCAGTGACTATGTCATAGTGAATGCTGGTCCAGTGCAGACTTCACACATATCTTTGATCTTCTCATATATGTGCAGCATCACGATGTTTTCCTTCACCGTAAGAATGACAGATAAATGTACATATGTAATTTTAAAAAAACACATGGCGGAATTCGAACCCTGGACCTACAGATTGCAAGTCAAGTGCTTAAACCCCTGAGTCACTGACGTTCTCATATTATTTATTTTTACTTTCATACTTTACTAGCTGTCGCTCGAGACTCCGTTTGCGCACAATAAAAAAATAAGCACCTTATGTGTTCTTCCAGACTATGTTCTATATGTGTGCCAAATTTCCTCAAGATCCATGCAACAGTTCCAGAGATACATGATGTAACAAACATTCGCATTTATAATATTAGTAAGTATTTATTACTTTTTAGGGTTCCGTACCTGACAGGAAAAAAAACCCTTATAGGATCACTTTGTTGTCCGTCTGTCGTGACCTTTTTTTCTCTAAAACGCGTGAAGGTCTCAAGCTGGAATTTATTATTAATATTTTCAGTGGTACAGGGGTAGAAGTTTGGGGTAATTTAAACGCTCCACGAGCGATAACACTATCAGCATTGATCTACTGCCTGCGCTGTATGGTCGGACATGACGTACCTTTGAATCAGGTAAGAAATAATTAAGCGAGAGTACAACGTGACGTGATTTTCTCTTTTATAGAGGTTTCTCTCATACCTGACTTTCTCATTTATGAAGGTTGTACATACTTTTAGAAATTATTATTAGAATTTGTCGCGCTTTTACAAAGAATGATTAGTGAGGGGACATAAACGTCGATATTTTAGTAAGGCTAGTGTTGCGCCAGTACACCGGCAGTGTCGGATTTTCTTTCTAATAGTTGGGGACTGAATCTCGCTTGTAGAGGTTTCTACCTAGGTTCAAGTTTATTTGTAACCTTGAACTTAATTACAGTTACATTTATATATATTGTTATCCCTTTATTTCTTTTAGGGGACAACAGAGACAAAAATAGTACATTCATTATTGTTTCTGTATCTTTTTTATATATTACTAGCTGTCGCCCGCGACTCCGTCCGCGTAGATATATAAAAAAACTTAATATATAGATAAGTTAAATAAAATGCAGCTCTTCAAGGCATAAATTCGAAAAAAAAGTGAATAAATAGTATCCTATGTCCGTCTCCTGGCTCTAAGCTACCTCCTCACCAATTTTCAATCATATCAGTAAAGCCGTTCTTGAGTTATAAATAGTGTAACTAACACCACTTTCTTTTATATATATAGATAAGAGATAATAGTATTAAGAGTTAATAAATAAATAAAATTCATTTTCGCCATATACAAATGCATTTACCGTTGATTTCTGAGACCAAAAATTCATTTATTAATCATTATCTGTAATAAAACAGAAATTACGATTTTAAACGAGGATTTTGGTCTCAGAAACCCACTTTAAATTAATGAAATTAAAATAAATAAAACATTTAACCCCCTTTTATTAATATTCCAGGGTTGTTTGAAGCCAGTACAAGTGGTAATACCAAGTGGTTGTATACTGGACCCGTCAGAGGGCGCTGCGGTGGTGGGGGGTAATGTGCTCACGTCACAGCGCATTGTCGACGTCGTGCTTAAAGCCTTCCAGGTAACTTGTACTTAGTTTTAACTTAGTAAGATTTAAACAACAAAAATCTAGAATTTTCAAATTAAAAAAACATATATTTTGTTGTTTTTCTTTTTACATTTTGACGGGATTAGTAAATAATCTCATTTAAACAGACAAATGTTTCTGTTTATTTAAATATTAGACTAAATAAATATTATTTTATTATCGTTTTAGTTTAGTTTGAGATTAGCGCCATCTATCTGATCGTGAATGAAACTAAATAGTCAAAAAGCCAAATTTATAGAGGATTTTAGACATTACAATGTATCGAATGGTTCCTTTTATATAATTCAATAGCAAACTAGCGAGTGCATAGATTCGCTAAAATAGCGAATTAAGCTATCCATACATATCTACAATTATAAATGCATTGTCTATCTTTAAAAAGGTGTATCTGTATTATATTGGTGAAGTATTTTCATCATCAGGTCACTATACCTCACTTAGGGGGTTCAGAATCTACCCTAAGTCAGTGACTATGTCATAGTGAATGCTGGTCCAGTGCAGACTTCACACATATCTTTGATCTTCTCATATATGTGCAGCATCACGATGTTTTCCTTCACCTTAACAACATAGCATAAATGTACATATGTAATTTAAAAAAACACATAGATGGCAGGATTCGAACCCAGGACTTGTAGACAAGTGAAGTGTTTAACCCCTGAGCTATTGACGTTCTTTATCTTATCTTATATATATAATTGGAATCTCGGAATCGGCTGCAACGATTTTCATAAAATTTAGTATATGGGGGGTTTCGGGGGCGATAAATCTAGCTAGTTAGGAATCATTTTTAGAAAATGTCATTTTATTCGCGTTTTATCGATAATCAACTTAAACATAATCTTAACTTTTTCTATCGGTAACATCGAAAAATATTATTCATATTTCATCATTTTATTAGTAATTCCTACTTAAATATAATTTCCAAAAAACACAATTTCAAAAAAAAATACCGAGCAAAGCTCTGTCATACAGGTTTTATTATTTATATAAAATATGATCATTGATAACTGTTACATATGAGGTATGCGCGGCGTCACAAGGCTGCATGAACAACCTGACGCTGGGTGAGGCCAGCTGGGGGTACTACGAGACTGTGGCTGGAGGCAGCGGAGCTGTTCGTATATACTTATCAAATATTATATATTATTCTATGTGTTATTCTACACTATGTTCTAGATCAGTGTTTCTCAAAGTGTGCGATAACGCCCCCTTGTGGGCGCTGCAGGTGTCAAGTTGCGGGTTATAGTAAAAGTTTCCTTTACAATTCTCCGTTAATATACATATATAGGTCACAATAATTAATTAATTTAATTTGAAGTTATAGTGGTTTTTAAATATTTGAAAATATGGGGGCGCTAAAATATTCTCAAAGTGGGCAGTACACAAAATAAATTTGGGAACCACTTACACTTATACTAATATTATAGATGGATGGATGTTTGTTTGAAGTTATCTCCAGAACAGCTGCAAATCTCGCTAAATTTGTCATACATATATAACATAGTCTGGAAGAACACAGACCATTTACTCTTTTTTATCCCGCGCAGAGTCGCGGGCGATATCTAGTTCATAATATTATTAATATTAAATATTTGTGTGTCAGGGTGTGGGGTGGCATGGATGTGGCGGAGTGCACACACACATGACCAACACACGTATCACCGACGTGGAGATAGTGGAGACCAGGTACCCCATACTGGTCACCAAGTTCTCTCTACGTCATGGATCTGGAGGCAATGGTAATTATTTATACTAACTAACTGCAGCTCCTGGGTTCGAATCCCGCCATCTACATATGTACATTTATCAGACGTTGTTACGGCGAAGGAAAACATCGTGATGCTGCACATATCTGAGAAGTAATTCAAAGATATGTGTGAAGTTAACCCGTACTTGGCCAGCGTGGTTGACTATGACCTAATCACCCTTAACTTAGGGTAGGATTCGAGCCCTCAGTGGGGACTTTTATATAATTAAAAAATATCTTTGAATAGTAAAGAGAATTAACGTCACCGGGAAGGGTAGGGATGACAGAAAAGAGATCAGATGTCCCTTGCCACTTAGGCAACGCATGGTTGGATCGATAGTATATTTATAAAATTGGTTTGTCTGTATGTAATATAGAAAAAATTGCTATACTGATAGCGAAGAACCAGTTTTTTATAATTTTTGTTCGTCTTTAATTATGACACTAAAGGTGACATAACAATGTCTTAGGTCAATTCCGTGGAGGTGATGGTGTGATCCGCGAGCTGGTGTTCCGTCGCGCTGTTCAGCTTTCAGTGCTTACTGAACGCAGAGCCTTCCAGCCGTATGGGATGAATGGTTTGTATATATTTAAGCTTCTTTTCCACTAAGACCCCCCCGTCCTGAAGGCCTAATTAGTCTTTCCCTTCCCACCTTTTTTCTTATACGGAAAGGATGGGAAGTGGAAGTGGACTTTCCGGATGAGAGGATGCATGGGAAGGAAAGAGTAGGTAACGCATATGTAATTGCGTATGTCTACGGGCAACGGTCACTTCGCTATTTCAGCGATTTCATGTGACCGCTCGCTCGTTTGCCATCTTACCATATAAAAGAAAGACTTTTCATCAGCAACTACTTCCAATCGCTTAGTGGAAAAAAGAAATAAGGATGGTAAAAATAAGATCTTAACTATTTTTTTTATTTTCATTTTGTTACTTGAATTTTTTTAATACTAGAAAATTTCTACAAATCATAGTACAAGATACGACGGTAAAATATTCTTTAATGCTTACTATGGGTTTCCGAGAACGAAATCCTCATTTAAAACATAGTAATATCTCTTTTTTGTCAAACATAATGAAAGGGATGACGATATGTTTTATACAAGATATTTTGGTCTCAGAAACCCACATTAAATAGTGTTAAAACTTAATATGAAATAATAAATATTGTTATTTTACAGGAGGCGAGCCAGGAGCGAGAGGTCTGAACTTGCTGCAGCGAGCTGACGGAAGAATTATCAATCTTGGAGGAAAAGCCTCCGTTGAAGCTTATCCTGGGGTGACTATTCTCTCATGTTGAATCAATTCCAATATTACTAACTAGTTGCCTGCGACTCCGTCCGCGTTGAATTAAAAAAAAACTTTATTAGTAGTCTGTGTGTTCTTCCAGACTATGTTCTACATCTATGTAAAATTTCAGCGAGATCCATACAGCCGTTCTGGAGGTACCTTCAATCAAACATCCATCCATTAGTAAGATTTTAGCCTTTTACTTACCCAAAATATGTTTGCAATAAAATGCGCAGTGGAAATGTACCTTAATATATATATTTTTATATTCAGGATAAATACATAATGAACTCCCCCGGAGGCGGCGGCTACGGGTTGCCTCGTGATCGCGACACAACAGACATACAGACAGACAAACTGTACAGTGAATTCTTACAGAGAGGCAGCGTTTATGAATATAAAAGTGCGCAGGAGTCCGTTTAAATAACATAATAGTTCCATTGCATGAACATATGCACAAAAATTATATACTTTATTGCATAATACAGTCAAACCTGGATGAGCAAGAAACCTTTATAAGTGAGAGTCATCAGGACCCAACAGACGACCTCTATAAGCGAGAAACTCGGGTTAGAGAGAAAACTGCATAAGCGCGAAACTGGGTTTTGGAGAGAAATTTCTAAAAGCAAGCAAACAGTGTAGAGAGAAACCTCCATAAGCGAGAATCTCGGGTTAGGGAAAAAACCTCTATAAGCGAGAAACTAGGTTAGAGAGAAACTTTTAAAAGCGAGAAACTGGGTTTTGGAGAGAAATTTCTAAAAGCGAGAAAACAGATTAGCGACCTTCATAAGCGAGAAACTTTGGTTAGAAACCTTTATAAGCGAGAAATATATAGAGGTACCTTGAACTCTTGCTTATCCATTTTCGACTGTAATTATTATATTGATATGTTTAAAGTAAATAAGGATAATTTTTATTATGTATTTCGGCAACGATTTGAATATTTTATTAATAACGCGTTATCAAATCAAATTTTTTAAACATCGTAAATCATCACTCATGATAAAGTTCATGAAAATCACAATTTTGCACAAAATTAAGTTCAAATGGAAGCTTTCAATAGTGACATATATTTTATATATATATTTAAAATAAACTTAAATCTTACTAATATTATAAATCAATATATAAAAGACAATAAATATATTATTATGACTGTTTCAAATAATTCTTCATTTCAGAAATATGTTATATCTTAATTTTTTTTTAATATATCTTGCACAATATTATATTTAAGTAAATAACAAAATAATCGTAGAAAAGTAGAATATGTTTCTTGTTAAAAGAGTTTATATTTAGGATGAATCAATTATATAAATTTTATTTACATAAATATATTTACATAGAGAGCATCGGTGGGTCAGGGTTCAAGCACTTGACTTGCAATCTGCAGGTCCTGGGTTCTAATCCCGCCATGTACCAATGTGTTTTTCCATTTCCGATTTACATATGTACATTTATCCGACGTTCTTACGGTGAAGAAAAACATCGTGATGCTGCACATATCTGAGAAGAAATTCAAAGATATGTGTGAATTCAACCCGCACTTGGCCAGAGTGGTTGACTATGACCTAATCACCCTTAACTTAGGGTAGGCTCCGAGTCCCTCGGTGAGGATGTATAGTGATCTGATGATGAATTATTTTTACATATAAAAATATATATTTTCGTAGTTTTTATATTTTATAAAAATTGTTAAAAGCAATTATTGAGTGCAATAAAACTTAGGATATATTGTTTTTTATAGTAAATAAAAGCATTTATCAAATTTGTTACATATGTACATTTTTATTTATTTTTATATATATATTTTTAGAATCAATAGCTTAATTAAAAATACGTATATTTAGTAAAAACATCTCAATCACACAAATGTTTATTTACAATTTTAATTATATTTTTTATTAATAAATATTTTAACCTGATTAAAGTAATTTTATTTAATTACATACATAATTCAATATATCTTAAGTACATAGATTTTCACATAGGAATGTATTATTCCAGACTATGTTCTACATCTATGCCAAACTTCATCAAAATCCATTGAACTGTTCCGGAGATATCTTTTAATAAACATCCATTCAAACTGACACATTTATATTAGTAAAATTGTCATTCCCCTTCCTATATGTCCCCTCCTCTTACTAATTCACTTTCCCATATTTACCTTGGGTTATCATGCGCGATGCTCCAGAATCTACCTTCATAGTGAGGATATATCAAATTTTTTAACACCAAAATGCATCTGTCAACTATGATCTCCAGCAGCAGCCAGAGCCTCCCTGTTCTCGTATGCCCAGAAGCCGTGCAGCTCCAGCAGTATGGAGACAGCAGTGTGGCCGTGCCCGCTGCGCACCAGGTCCTGCAGAGTGATCCTGGAGGGATGCTCAGGTCTGATCATGTCGAAGATCTCGTCTTTTACGTCATCGAAGTTGACAGGTTCCGCGCCGTGGGCAACCATTTGTTCTTGTATTGCCTGAAAAAATGGTAGCTTTTGGTAGATTTTAATAAAATAAAACGAAAATATCACATCTCACATAAACTTTGCTCATAGACTTCCAATAAATAAAAAAAGAAATTAAAAAATATTTAATAAAAAAAGGCACCTTTATAGGATCACTTTGTTGTCCATCCGTCTGTCTGTCTATCAAATGTCAAAGAAAGACTAACCTTAAAGAAATAATTCAAGGTGAAAGCATCAAGATATCCCTGCGAGTTGATATCTAATACTCTGAAGAGATATGCCAGTGCTGCGGGCTGCTTCCTGTTCTCCAGAGCTAGGACTAGATCCAGATATGTCTTGTAGTCCATCTCACCGTCGTACGTCAGGCACTGCTGGAACACGCGCTGCAGGAACGCACGGGTCAGTGTACCTGAACCATACCTACAAAATATATAACAAAAATTAATCAAAGTACATAAAGAAAATTATGAAAAATACTAAATTTGTATGTAAATAACTTCATTTGTTAATAAAAAAAAACAAAAAAGATGACTTACTATGACAGTTCAAGGATGAATATGAATTAAGTTAATAAATAAATTTTACAGTACAACAACCTTCATAAGCGAGAAACTCTGGTTGGGAAACCTCTATAAGCGAGAAAAATGTCACTCTTGGACTCACTTATCCGAGACAGACTAATCTACAGGATATCACAAGAAAATTGTCTCAAATAAAACTGGTTTTTATTTTCATTTCTTACATCTAATTACTTATTATATACAAGAAAGTAGATTAACAAAAACTCACCCTGCTAATTCATTAATACTGAGCATGCCGTTGTGGTCTCTATCCAGATTGAGGTACTGTCCATAAACCCTCAGAGCGGATGCTGCACTGAACCAGTTCTGTTCCTGGAGCTCCATAGGTAGATCTTCTTCACGTAACTGAAATGATTACCATTTTTATATTTACAGGATGTTGCGACCCCGTCCGTGCGGAATATAAAAAACACTTAACAAGTATCCAATGTATTCTTTGATACCATGTTCTACATCTGTGCCAAATTTCATCAAGATCCCTTTAGTTGTCGCGTAGATACCTTCAAACAAACCATCCATCCATCCATCCATCTAAACAATTGCATTTATAATATAAGTAAGATTTAGAAATTATTTTTTTTTAAACTTAGTTCATTTACATTGCTTAAGTTTCAGATTAAAAAAAATAGATATTTTAATTTGGTACACACAAATAATAAAAAGGCTCAAATTAGTAAACAAAAACTTAATCCGAAGTCATGTTAAATTACACATAACAAAAAACCCACTATTATTCCACTCCGTTAAATTCATACATACCTCTAACAAATCATCCAAAAAGGAACAGCTCAATACATCTCTGATCCTAACTCTGCCCACTCGCAATGGATCTAAGAAGAACAAGAACTTTCTTGCTGCGGTGCACACATAGAATGAACTGAATGAGGAGTCTAGACCATCCAGGGCCGCTAGAGATGGCACTAACTCTGCTATGTAGCTCTCTAAGTCCTGCAAATGTAAATAAAGATTTCATATTAATACCATAGACTAGATAAGAGTCCAAGAAACTACAACATTTCTGCATTTTCTAAAGCAGTGGTTCCCAAACTTATTTTGTCTACTGCCCACTTCGAGAATAAATATTTTTTAGCGCCCTCAATTATTAAATTAATAATTAAATTAATTAATTATTGTAACCTATGTATATTAATGGAGAATTCTAAATGAAACTTTTACTATAACCCGCAACTTGACACCTGCAGCGCCCACAAGGGGGCGTTATCGCCCACTTTGGGAAAGACTGTTCTAGAGGTTTCTCGCTTATGGAGTTCTTTCATTGGGACCAGGGTCATTACCCTCTGTAAGCGAGAGTCATTACTCTCGCTTACAGAGGTTTTTTACTTATCCATGTTATATAATTTATCAGAATGCTAATAAAATTATTTGACAAACATACCTATTTAAATATATATACAGTATGTTATATTTCAACTCACATGTTCAGTAAGATATCCTTGTCCTGTCACATCATACAACGACAAACCAATCCTTGTCTGTTGCAGCCAGACGCGTCTCATTACATAATTAAATAAAGACACACCACGGACTTTGCCAAAACCACCCTCAGCTGCTTGGAGACGGCCAAACACTTCTGCTGTGAAGTACGGTCTGAAAGCAGCAAGCAAAAAGTGTGTTATTTTTTATGATAAGAGAGTAACTGAGCTATATCTTAGTGTTAAGAGTTAATCCAAGCCTGAACTCCAAATAAATTGGTGACTGTTAAGAAATAGTATCCTTAGATTTATTTAGCTGCATGTAATAGGAGTTAATCACCCTTAACTTAGGGTAGGCTCCGAGCCCCTCGGTGGGGACGTGTAGTGAGCTGATGATGATAAAAAGGAGTTTGCAAAGTTTGATCTTATTCAATGAACTATGCAAAATCTTCACATATCTGTTACTAAAAATATTTGTAATAATTTTGGTATTTTAAAGACCCATCTTACTTCTTACTAATATCATAAATGTGAATGTTTGGATGGATGGATGTTTGAAGGTATATCCAGTATAGCATACAGCTGTCTTATCTTGATGAAATTTGGCAAAGATGTAGAATATACTCTGGAAGAACACATAGGTTACTGGACACATTTTTTTTTAAATTCTACTTGACAGAGTTGCAGGCGACAGCTAGTTAAAAATAAATTAAAGCACTTGATAAGGTCTAATCAACGAATTGGTTTGCATAGCCTTTTTAAATCATTGCTAATAAAATATTACCTATATTTAGGGCCAGCCTCATCCCTAATTTTCCTATACTGAATATAATCTATTGTCAATTCATCATTACTTGACGGAGTGTAATTTGCATTCGATTTCTCTAAAAGACTCCATAAATGTTTCAATTCACTATTATCCAACAATTCCTTGCTTTTCTTCTGTAAAAACTGAGCTCTAGTCTCTTCTCTTAACTTCTGTGCCAATACTTCATCAGATCTTGGAAGTTTGAAGTAGAATTTTGGTATTTTTTTGTATGATTCTTGATTTCCCTCTAATTTTGGTTTGTAAAGTTGTTTGAATGTTTCTATTTCCATTTTTTCGCTTTCATCTTTTGTTGTTACAGAACCTGTGTCTAAATAAGACCGAAAAAATATAATTCTTGTAAAATTTTCTAGATCTATGTGTTAAAAAGTTTAAATGAAAAAGTACAACAAAGATTTAAACAATAATTCGAACCTTCCAATTTTTTGATGTAATTTTTTACTCGATTTTTCAACTTGTTATTAAGTTCATTTTGAACCGGACTTGTTTCATTTTCACACACGTTATTGTTAACTTTATCATCGGTTTTGTCTTCGGAAGTGTTTTCAGACATTGTTTTATTTAATTTTACGTATTAATTCAATTTAAAATAAAAAGATCACAATATGTTTGTTTGCAACCATAAAATGTCACTCGAAAAAATTTGACAGTTGCAATCACTTTTGTTCGTGCTACGCATATTTTCTAAACATTTTAATTGGCTTTATTTAAAAATATTTTTTTTTATTATAAAAAAACAAAAACATGTCATCGTTATGACTATTACTTATTTACTAAGTTACTTTGAAATGATAATAAATAAAAATTAAATTTTTCTATTCAGCAATAGATGTCGCTAGAAACATTAGTTAGAATTTGACGTTCAAAGGAACTTGAGCCCGTTTAAATCTTTTGCTTTAGAAAAATGAATTCATAAAAACGTAAAATTAACTTTCTACTACTTTACATTACGGGTAAAAAATTATATATTTTATTAAATAGCCATCATTGGAAGAATAAGTAACATTTTTAAAATGCAACGATGTAACTGGTTGATAATATTAGTTACTCTTAAATTCGTTTACGTATTTCATAATTCAATATTCGATTCATTAATTTAAATTACTAATTAACATTCAATATGCATCATGTTGTCAGAGTTAGGTATGCGACGTTGATGTCACCTTGCAATAAATTTTAAAAACAATAAGCGAGACAAAGAACTCTGTCGTAATTAATTGCAAACAGACATACAGACATATTGTATTATTTGTGCTGATGTTGCTCTATGGAAATTAGAGCATTTTTAATTAGCTAAAGTCAATAAACAAAAAAGTAAAAAAAAAGCAAAAGAATATCCACGTTACAACTTATTTTTTTTCGACAAAAGCTGTTATTTAGGCCAAGAACTTTACCAAAAAGAAAGTAATAATTTTTTTTAAAGCAGATTATTTTTTTTACAAAACGAGTAATAAATTAACTATGGAAAAATAATTAATTGAATCTTATAGTTTCATTCAATCTATAATTATCTATCGTCATCATCATCAGCTCACTATACGTCCCCATCGAGAGGCTCGGAGCCTACCTTAAGTTAAGGGTGATTAGGCCATAGTCAACCACGCTGGCCAAGTGCGGATTGACTTCACAAATATCATTGAATTTCTTCTCAGATATGTGCAGCATCACGATGTTTTCCTTCACCGTAAGAACGTCGGATAAATGTACATATATAAATCGGAAATCGAAAAACACATTGGTACATGTGAGGATTAGAACCCAGGACCTGCAGATTGCAAGTCAAGTGCTTGTCCCCTGAGCCACCGACGCTCTAATTAATTATCTATATTCAGATGAAAATGATATAATTAATACGAAACTTTACATCGACCAGCTATGTTATAACTTACCAATTAAATATATTATATAACCACGCAATATATAACAACAATGCCGTAAATAACGGATGATTTATTGAATCACAGTATGCTGTAAAAGTTTTTAATTAGCAAATGAAAATCATTCAGTTGTGCAACAGAATTACGTATAATTTCTTCGTTCTACCTTCTTATTGGAAAGTAAATGAGCTGATTAATTCTGTTTAATAGCTTTAATCCTTTTTAATCTGTGACTTTAATTAGAAGATAAATAGGGTGACCATAATATTTTAGGTTGATTAAATTGACACCACGTAATCGATTAGATCTTACTAATATTATAAATACGAATGTTTATATGGATGGATGTTTATTGGAAGGTATCTCCAGAAGACTGCACGGATCTCGCTGTAATTTGGCATAGATGTAAAACATAATCTGGAAGAACACATAGGTGAATTGCGACTAATTTGATACTACGCGGGCGACAGATAGTAAGTTATAACGACTTCTTGTACTCAAAGGTCACCATCTAAGAGTTTTAGTAGATAAAATGCAATATGACCATGTATTTTCACTTGAAATATTTGAACACAAAATATCATTCATATTTCAAAGATTTACTCAGATATAAACTAATTAAAAAACGATACATATTTTGTGATAAATTGCATATAAATTAAAAAAAGGTAACGACAAAGTAATAATTTAGCAAAATATGCATAAAGTCGTTCGTCTCAATCAAGGTTAGACTTTCATATTATAAAATAAATTAACTTACTTGCAAACTATCCTCATGTAACTAGGAGCATTGGTCATTCTATTTTAGGTCTAATTAAAAGGCTGGCAGAGGAATTGCATCTAGCAGTCTAGGAATAGGTTAAATAAAAATAAAGTTTAATTGATTCTTCCAATGGTTGTTGACGTCTTGTGGTAAATTTTATAAGTGTTAAGTAGATACTTATTGTAATTTAAAATATGTTTATAAAGTTCTAGTATTTAATATGTTATTTTAATATAATAATACAATTAATATACTAAAATTATTTATAATACCTTATGTTTAAAACTTAAAGTTCTGGATATTTAATTCCACCACACTTAAACTATAAATTAAGCACAAAATGAAACCACAACATCTTGAGAAAAAAGGCATTTTATTTACAATTAATATTATAATGTGAAATAGATGTTAAATATAAAAAAAGAGTCAGTAATACAAGTAGAGTTTTTTTTTTTATTTAACATAATTTTAATCTGAATCAATAGTGTTTTTGTTTTGCGATTTTTGACACATCATAGTCAATGACAAGTAAATTTTTAATTAACTTAGCTATCATAGTTAACTAACCTTGGGTTTCTGACCAAAACCTTCATTTAAAACTCTATTGTGTTCTCTGGCAAAGATTTCAGAAACCCACGGTTAAGAGATGTCGTAGCTAATATTAAAATTTTCTTTTATTTCACAAACCATTTGTTCTGTGTCCGTTAAACAGAGCTGGATCATTTGCTGTCTACAAAAAATTGTTTACATGCTTTATACAAATAGCTACACAAATATTGGACATCTGATTATCATATTTAACACGACCCTGTCAACAATCAAACATGTTAACTTAGTTATCAAAAAAAAAATGAAGTTTATTACATAATTTTCGTAAGAATTATAAGTACAGTATGACAAAAGGCGAAGTAACGAAACGCAAACCGGACCATCCGTTGTGCGCAGGCGCAGACTTACCGGGCAAGTTCTCAGTTATGCGCGAGACGTCGTGGGGTGCGGACGTCTATTGGAACATTGTGTTAAAATTGTAACCGCGCGTTCGTTAGTGCATTATTTGTGATTAAACAATTTTTGTCGTGATAACAAAAAAGTTTTCTTAACATAAAGTGCTATGAAAGGATACTAAAAGTAGGAGATATTTGTAGGTAAGTGGTAACTATTGAAGGCTCTACGTCTATACATTTGGCTAGTTGTGCTCTTTTTGAAAGGGTTTTGTGACTTGCCTTTTGCAAGGCGGCCCACATTCATTCGTGTTGTCTTTACAAGTCGGCGAATAATTGTGTAATATATTGTTACTTTTTAAATTACTAATAATCGTTTTTAAAAGAACAAATTCTTAAAGGAAATTAAGTTACTGATATTCTGACCTTGGATATTTTGTTGGAATGCCTAACGTATAGAAATGTGAACGGATAATTGATTTCTCTTGAACCAGATTCGGTGTTTGTCAGTAAAACCTAGGTCCCACTAATGAACCTTGGGCTAGAAACATTTTGATATAAAATCCATGACTAGATTCTATCATCTAGTACTAGATACACGTCTTGTCTATTTTTTTGGATTAATATTAAGACATAACCGGCTATACCAGCATCGGAAGATTGCACACTAGCAGTCGAGAAAAAAATAGCCTATGATATGATACATCAGCTGCCTTCCAGACCAAGTCCCGTGAAAATTCATTCAACCGTTAAGGATTTTATCCGGAACAAACTAGGACGAGCAGACATAAAGACGAATCTTATATAAAAAATTCTCGTGTCACAATTTTCGTTCCCATACTCCTCCGAAACGGCTTGACCGATTCTCATGAAATATTGTGAGCAAATATGCTCAGTAGCCGATCCTCAGACCTACTCAATAGAGTAGGTCTGAGGATCGGCTACTATCTAAATTTTAATACCGCACGGACGGAATCGCGGGCTACAGCTAGTTTTATATAAAATATTTTTTTTTTTATTTAATAAACAGACCATCCAATTTTATTAATGGAATTATGCCTTCATATTTTGCTGCTTTAAATCAAAGTAAAATGTAATTATTTTTGATTTAATAGCTTAATTCTTACTGGAATTTTTGCTTTATTTTTATAAAACATTATAAAATATATTTTTCTGTGCATATAATTTATATACCAACAGTATTTCTAGGAAATAAATCACAGGCAACGTTTTAGCTAATCGCTTAAATCGGCCATTAACTGGCTCAAGTCTGGACTGGCACAAGTCGTACAAAGTTGTATTTTGATATAGAACAGATTTGAATAACATTAAGTAACAATTATTCGTCTTTATTTCAACAAAACTAGAAAGATAAAAACTTAATTATTAGCCTATGTGTTCCTCCAAACTGTGCTCTACATCTATACGAAATTTCATCAAAAACATCCATCCATCTTAACTTTCGCGTTTATAACATTAGTAAGATTTATCTGAATTAATATGCCACAGATAAAAAAGAATTGTAAATGAAAAAGGAATAAGTAATTTAAATTAACAAATCAACCCAAGTTTCTTTAACATCTTCGCACGAATTGGTCTAGCTCGCCCGGTGAAATACCACGACTACACAGAAGACAGGCGTCAAGTGGAAGCAATTCCGCGTACATGATGATGAGTGTGCGTCCCGAAGGACTGATTTAGTCCTCTGTCCCTTCCCACCCTTTTTCTTATAAGAAAAGGATGGGAAGTGGAAGTGCGCTTAAAAGTAGGCAACGCATATGTCATTGCGTATGTTTATGAGCAACGGTCACTTCGTTATTTCAGCGATATCAGGTAGCCACTTGCTCGTTTGCCACCTTATAATATAAAAATACAACCAGAACGTTTTAAATAAGATGTATTTCATAAGTCTTGATGTCATAGCAAAACCCACGTAACATTTATACAATACCAGTTGCGTTATACTAAGCAAGATGTTTGGATTTATATTTCAAAAGTAGACTGCAATATGTAGAACGAATTTATAATTTGCAACCGGATAATAGTCTCTTTTTTTAGTTATTAATGATCCGACTCGAAGGATCATCTATCTATTCTATACTAGCTACCGTCAGCGGGTCTGTTTGCGCAGAATTATAATACTTAATAGCTTATGTGTTCTTCCAGATTATATTCTACATGTATGCCAATTTTCAGCGAGATCCATCATAACATCCATCCATTTTATCATCATTAGCTTACTATACGTCCCCACTGAGGGGCTAAGAGCTTACCCTAAGTTAAGGGTGATTAGACCATAGTCAATCACGGTGGCCAAGTGCAGGTTGGTTGACTTCACACATATCTTTGAATTTCTTCTCAGATATGTGCAGCATCACGATGTTTCCCTTCACCGTAAGAATGTTGGATAAATGTACATATGTAAATCAGAAATCGAAAAACACATTGGTACATGGCGGAATTCGCACCCAGAATCTACAGATTGCAAGTCAAGTGCTTGACCACTGAGCCACCGACGCTCTGGTTGGTTGCTTCAAAGTCTATGGAAACTTCCTAAGTTTAAAAATATTTGTCAGAATTATTTTAGTAAGATTATTTCACAAACGGGTTGTTCGTAAAAAATAAATTTGATTTAAAATAACAAGCACCTGCTTGCGTAGGATCTTTTATTCATTCTTATGGAAATGTCGTATTTTATATATTTATTGGTCATTGACTTTTATATTGTTTATAAAAAGATATGAATTCTGTTTACATTTTATAAAAATCGAGACAGTGTTAATTTTAAAAGCAAAAGATCATCATCATCATCAGCTCACTGTACGTCCACCGAGGGGCTAAGAGCTTACCCTAAGTTAAGGGTGATTAGGCCATAGTCAACCACGCTGGTCAAGTGCGGGGACTTCACATATACCTTTGAATTTCTTCTCAGATATGTGCAGCATCACGATGTTTTCCTTCACCGTAAGAACTTCGGATTAATGTACATATGTAAATCAGAAATCGAAAAACACATTGGTACATGGCGGGATTCGAACCCAGGACTTGCAGATTGCAAGTCAAGTGCTTGACCCCTGAGCCACCGACGCTCTGTTACGAAGTCTTATTTTAAGGAAAATGTTACAATTTCGCGAACATTTCATACAGATGATACAGATCTTTTAATACTAAGCAGAAATAACTGTACTTCAGTTTTATTCTTTGTTCACAAGAAGATCCTTAAATGTATTAGAGTCCGCAGTTGCAGGCGCTCCAAGAATCTCGCCTGCTTATTTTTTTTTGTGACTGAGTCACTGTTTGCCTTGAAGAGACATTTACAACTTCACCGGGCTTGAGGTGGCCGAGCGTAGATGGTGCTTAGCCTGAACCTCGTTTAAGAGTAATATGACTCGAGGGCTCCCTCAGGAGCCTTGGCTCGGGCTGTAACTTCGTTATAGTTACCGGATTGGGAGGTCACCGAGCTCTTTGATCGCTTAGGTGGACGCTCCATGGAGTGACTAGACTCAAGGATCCCCAAGAGGGGACCTCGGCTTGCGCTGTCACTCATTACGTGTTTAGCATTCCGATTCAAGGGTGCCCGAGAGAGCCGAACCTCGGCTTGATCTATTATCTATAGATCAAGTCGAGGTTCGGATATAGATAGATATTATCTGATCGCGTCGCCTGCTTAAACCACACAGAAGACTAAATTCCTAATGAATTATGCTCCAATTGTGAACTATATACGTTTCGTCTCGTGATATGTCAGAGACCAGTAAAGACCTCTTTCCATTTTTTTATTAAGAACAAAATGGAAAAGAGAACTGTATTTGACAGGGGAGGGGAGATAATAATACGGATCCTTTTATCGTCATTTTTAGGGTACCGTACCTCTTAGGAAAAAACGGAATCCTTATAGGATCTTTGTTGTCCGTCCGTCCGTATGTCAAGACCCTTTTTTTTACTTAATTTATATACCCAATTTTATTAGAAAACTTACTTCAATCTTAGACTTATTTTAGTTTCATTGCTTTTGTTTTTAAATACTGAACACTTTTTGTTTTTTAAAATTACATATTCTTAATTTAAAATGAATTGTAATTAAATAGCTTAATTTGAAAGGCATCGGAATTTCGATTATAATATTTAATGAAAACAAGCTTTAAAATTCATTAACACGATTAAATTTCGCGATTATCATTCGTGTGAATTGAAAACGGGAAAGTTTAAACATTAACTACAATTAACATATCGGAATTCAATAAAATATTATCTTAAAATCTCATTTAGCTTGAAAACAAATCTTTGAATGAAAACATTAGTTCACATAAGGAATTTACATACATAGCTGTCGCTCGTGACTCTGTCCACGCGGGATTACTGAACGCATATGAAAATTTATAAAAATCTATCAAGTTTCGGAGGAATATGGTAACTAACATTATGACACGAGATTTATATTTAAGAGTCTTAAAATAAAACCGAGCTCTTATTAGAAGGTGCAATCAAGGTCAAAGAATTATAGCGGAGCGTTTAACGTTAATCGAATAATGGGTAGGAAATTATCGTCTCTGACTGTAAATAGAAATCAAATCCTCAAGGAGGAAGGATATTGCGTAACTTAGGTGCATAATTATGTAACAATTACAAACAATTATATTTACGATTTCTACACATTAAGGTTAAATATTTAGCTATGAATAATTAAAGACAAAATAAAAAAAAATACGCGTCTTAAAATGTTTTTAAAATACAGGATAAGTACGTGGACAGATAGGATGCGCACTAATACGCAACCACTACCGCCTGCCAGACTGCCTAGACTCTATCCGATAGAGCAAGAAGGACGACATATAAAATCAGCTGACCTAAAGTTCCTACTATTAAAACGTTGCTAGCTCCTATACTAAAAACTATATTAAAAATATGATAAATAAATGTAATATAGTTTTTTAATGAATTTGTCAAAATCAAAAGCTCTGTCTACCACTCTCGGTCATAAGCGTTAATATTGAATACCACAGTAAATTACAAATGTAGTTATTTAACATTATATCGTATTATCTCGATGTATATAAAAGAAAATGATCGAAAAAAAAAAATTAAACAGGAAGGCATCGTAATTACGAAAGAAGTACTGCATATTGAAGGCTAACTGCATACGTATGAGGTCAGTTACGATATGTTAAAAGTATTATTCGTGTGTTATATTTTGTTTAAATAAT